CTATATTTCTTCACTGTGATTGAGAACAAAAGCCGAAGGTTTGCAGTGATGTCTTTGCAAGATATGCGTTACTGAAAGCAATAGATTACTTGTTCATCTTGTTTATTGTTGGCCTCACCCTCAAAAAACTAGAGAAATGAACAAAGGCAGCCCAATCTCCACATGGTAGTTACAAAATAGAAATGCTTAATGAGCCAATAAGTTGACTCCCCAAATCACTGAAAACATTAAAAAGTGCATTAAATGATCTGCAACATCTAAAATTAATAAGACTTAACTAGGTATAAATCTCAAACGGAAGCATGTTTGTTTAATAAGCCTGAGATTTTATAGCCAGAACTGTCAACATTTACTCAAATAATATTTTAGTCATTGATATCAATAATTAATTTCCATGTTGTATGTCTTGGCCATTTTGTTGCTGAGGGGTCAGAATAAGCTGATTAATCTTCTTAAAGGGCTAAAATGATTTGGCACAGCTATTCATCACCCGGCACACACAGTGACAAACATGTATACAGCAAATATATTTGGCATCATTCAGGTTCCCCTCTCAACTTCTCAAGGGATTTTAAGCTTTAAGAATAAAAATCTGTCCTTGTTTTTCTTCATGTTTTGGATTTCCACGTGGACTGTGTTATTTTTCTAGAACTGGACCGCTAGCGCACGTTGTTGACTCTTTAATAAAGGCATCCTTAGAAAACTGAACTGTGGTCGGTCTGTTTATTGAATTTTGAGACTGTTGCCCAAAAATGACTCGTTTTTCCTGCTAGGTTATTACGAATTAACAGTTGAACATTATAGTTTGGTGACCTCTTGTGGCCATAGAAATTATGACAACGGAAGAGGGTTGGTGATGTAGTATACAGTGGGTACGGAAAGTATTCAGACCCCCTTAAATTTTTCACTCTTTGTTATATTGCAGCCATATGCTAAAATCATTTAAGTTCATTTTTTCCTCATTAATGTACACACAGCACCCCATATTGACAGAAAAACACAGAATTTGACATTTTTGCAGATTTATTAAAACAGAAAAACTGAAATATCACATGGTCATAAGTATTCAGACCCTTTGCTCA